AGCCAGGACCATCTTCATCCTGAACTCATCACTGGTCTCATGAAATCTGTGAAGCTGTCAGTGTTCAGTGTTCAGACCAGGTCCTGTCCCCCAACAGGACCTGGTCTGAACACTGACAGCTTCAGTCTGCGCTGGGCTCATCTCACAGAGGTCAGTGAGACTTAAGAGTCTCAGTTTACATCAATACACACACACACACACAGAGCTGAACTGTCCCCTCAGTGAGACAGACTCAGACCAGGAGCTGGTCTAGGTTCAACTCCTCAGATTCTCTAAGCAGGGATCCATGATTGTCTCTTCACACCAAAGGCCTGGACAGACGCTCCCTCTAATCAGCTGATCACGAAGCAGCAGAACAAAGTGCAGCTTTTCTTTAAAGTGCTTTTGGGGTCATATTTGGAACTGAAGGGACAAAAGACCGTTAAACCTTCAGACTAAAACCAGGTCTTCATCTTCATGTCTGAGACTCTGGAGCTGAATCAGATCAGTGTAAAGATTTTCATATATATTCTAATTCTAAATTATTTGTGCTTTCAATACTTCCTACGATGATTTATAGAACTTTAATCATTTATATGAAAATAAAACGACTCACTGAACCATCACAGTTCAACAACACACCAAACACAACCAGTCCTGTGCTTCTCATGCGCCTGAACGCATCACAACGAGCGGCTGCCACCTGTCCAAACCTCTTCCCTGTTGAGTCTTCTCAACATCCTCTGAATTTTTTCCTCCAAATAATAAAAAGATGCAAAATGAGACATTGTGTCATCATAGTGAACATGACACTGAAGTCAGAGCTGACAGCATCACTTCACTGAGATACAGAGTTGGACTCAGACACCCTCAGCTGCTCAGAGGACAATACTGAGCTTAGTTTTGACTCTGCTTTTTTAGCACAGCAGATAACTGCATCTCTCAGGGAAATCTTTGAAATGTGGATACAAATACTAAACTTGGCAAAAATCCTCCTTCAGTATCACTCCTTTGATAAAACATGTTAGCCACTCAAAAATTCAAGCTGGCCGCCATTTCTGGCAAGGAAATGTTTTGCAATAAGTTCATCCACTATTTTCTCATATGAATAATCTATGTGTCAATTCAAACATTTTAACAATGTAGAAGGTGAAATTTAGTACATTGTAATTAAAAAATGACAAAATATTACTCACAAAAACGTTTGCTAACTAGCCTAGCGCTACTGACTAAGCCTAGTGAGCTAATGTTAAGACAAGTAAACAAGGAGACTATTAATTTACAGAACTGTTGGTTCATCGTTCATAATAAATGGTTTGAAAATGCATTTTTCACATTACATATTAGAAATTGCACAAATAGTCTCTGGCTCTGAGGAAATTTAAGAGTTGAGAATTTGACATCCTCATAGTCTAAAACATATGATGACATTACAAAATAATTTTATCCAGTGGGTAAAATTCTGTGGTAAAATATATGTTTCCTGAGCTAGAAATGGCAGCTATTTTGAAATTTGAAGTGGCTACTGGGATTTTTCAAATTAATGGCCCCGTAGGAATAAACATACCAAATTTGATGCTTGTATCCACATTTGAAAGATGATTATAATAATCTGCTGCATTATTAGATAATTCCATTATTTAAATCACAGCTCAGTATGAACCTCAGTGCAGTTTCATATCATCCAATGATACTGTGAGTCGCACAATAAACACAACACAAAATAAGAAGGTTGTATTTTGTGTGTCAGATGTAACAGGATGGTAGAAGCTGTTTTCATCTGTCTTCAAACTGAACCATCTCTGGACACCAGCAAGCCAATCAGAGCCCAGTCTGTAAGACGTACCTGTATGTAGCAGATACCATGTTTGAAAGATCACATGACAGGATCTTTGACTAGACATTTTACTGCCAATGTCGGAAAATAAACAGCACTGTGCAAACGTTATAGAGACTCTTCATCATCATCATCATCATCATCATCACCAGGAAGAATCAGATTGGTCGAAGAGTCACCTAGCATCAGGACGAGTCCAAATACAACCAGTCATAAAGTACCAAGCAGAACTGTGAGCGGACGTACTGAGAAGAAGTGGTGCTGGTTAAAAGCCAAAGGCAGGTCGCAGCAAATACTGGTCTGATTTAGTCTGCATCCACACTGATACGTTTCCATTTCAAAACTAAAACGATCTCTGTCCACACTAACACACCTGAAAACACATATGACGTGACCATTGACGTCCACTGGGCATGTGTGAGCCGGTGTAAACAGGAAGTAGATTGTCTTCTCTGCAGAAGAAGTTAAGACAGTTGTAGCATTAAAATACAGAATTTAACTGAACAAACTGAGCAAAAACAACAAGATCAGTAACACTTGTAATTCATTATCATGTTGTATTCACAACTGTTAGTTGAGGCTGATGAGAGCCAATCAGAAGGCGAGACACAAGTCATGTGTCATCAGTTTCAGCTCGTCCAGACTACAACACATCCTGGAGTTTTCAAAGTAGCACGTATCAGTGTGGACGTAGCCTGAGATTTCTTCTCTTTAATCTGGATGAAGTTCACTGAGAAATAATTAAAACCCCCAACTCCTAAAACTTCTGCACAGTGCTGTGATTTTAAATGTGTCTTTGAAAACTGAATTTTAATTATGTTTAATAATTCATCTTTTTTATTTTTTTTTATTTTATTGAATTAAACTTCTTGATGTGCTGTGTCCATTTCTTTTTTCCATCAGAGGGAGGTCCTGAGCTCTGGATCGTACCATCAGCAGATCAGTATCTGAGCTGAGCTCTGTCTTCAGTGAGCAGCTCTGACTGGATGCAGGTCACACAGCTCAGAGCTCAGAGCTCAGACTCACATCCAGCTGTGATGCAGACGCTGCACCTCATGAATGTTTATGGACCTGCAGCCAATAACAACACAGGACATCAACACGCTGACACGTCACCTCCTCCTCATCATCAGAGGAAGGTGAAGGACACAGCACACTGGCACAGACACGTTTTTAATGTCGACCACTCATTCATCCACCCGGAGCACCGACGAGGCGTTCACTGACATCAAGGTAACCAGCCTCTACCTTCACCTGTTCATGTGACTGAGTCAACACATGTCCACAGCTCCACTGACTCACATCACTTCACTCTCTGAGCAGCAGGTGATGGAGACGAGTTCAGATACTGTCAGTGAGTGAAGGTCTGAGGGGCCTGAAGTCAAATAGAAATATCATTCTCAATGTTTCAAGTATCTACGAGAGTTTTAAAGGCATCACTACACAACCTGCACTGAAGGGTCCCAGTCTGAGGGTCGGGGACCCAGGGGGTCGTGAGTTGAATCTCAGGGGTCAGGAGATGATTGAGAGGAGAAAGAAGCAGAAGAAATATATTTCTGAAACATTCTGTCAGACTTTGATCTAATCTCTGTTTTTTACTGAATTTTTTCTCATGTCACAAAAATTCTTCAAATAGTAAAAATGAATCTGAGAAGAATCTCTGTGGCTCCTCACACAATCTTTTTTATTCGGAGTGGTCACAACAGGTCTGGTACCACAAGTCTGGGTACTACAGGTCTGGTACCACAGGTCTAGTCCTGCAGGTCTGGTCCTGCAGGTATCCCTCACAGCTGCTCTTTGCCTGATGTCTGATCTATGATGGATGTTTCAGTTCTGTCTGAGACTCATGGGAGAGAGCAGATGCTGTCCACACTGGGATCTGATCCCTCCTGGTGGTTCAGGTCTGTTCTCTCTCATGATGATGAACTCAGCCAAACACCTCTGAGTCCACATCAGACCAGAGACTGAAGGAGAACGAGTGCAGCTGCAGCTGTGAGGCTGTGGAGCTGCAGCAGGTTCAATACTTTTCCTTCAGTTAGTGTAAATAATGCAAGTACACAAACACAGGTAACTATAGTAACAACGAGATGAGTGGCAGCAGCCACTGTCTGTTCTCAGGGATGATTTCATATAAGATCAATTCTTTTTCAAGTGTTTGAGGCATCAAACAAGTGTATATGTGTGTGTGTGTGTGTGTTTGTGTGTGTGTGTGTGGACTAAGTGCCTGTGTTGGAGGATAAATTGCACTAAACACTAAATATTTCTGATTCATGTTTGTCTCTTTGTTAATCTTTGTAAACTGTTTGGTGAGTTATGTCAGAATGACGGGGGCAGGGCTGTGTTGGTGTCTGCCACAGGTGATGACAGGTGAAATGTACCAAGTCCAGTCTGAGTCTGATCCAGAACCAGAAACACCACACAGCAGCACTCTGGGTCCTGGTTCTCCTCTGAGGCTGGACTCTGCAGCACTACACCTTTTACACCAGGTTAGCATCTAATCAGCACATTGCTACATTTCACACACTGCAGGTGTTTTACCTGCTCAGCTCACCAACCAGGAAGCGTCAGTTCATTTTACACAATATGACCTATGTGTGTGTGTGTGTGTGTGTGTGTGTGTGTGTGTGTGTGTGTGTGTGTGTGTGTGAAATGTAGCAATGTTAATTAAATTGTACTTGTTATGATGAATAATGGATTTCCAGTGTAGCCACAGACTGAGGGGCAACACACAGCAGCACTGAGCCGGTCTCTCCACTGACCCCCTGCACCCTCGGTACAGCAGCAGGCTGCACCTTCACTCCTTCCTCTTCCTCTGCAGGCGGTGCAGTGTGTGCTGCAGCCTCAGCTGATGCAGCTAGTGTGTGTTGCTCTCAGTTCCTGCTTCAAGCTCAGGGGCCAGCAGGGGGCCCCAAACAAGCTAATTCCACACTCCTACTTTGAATTTAAATATAAATATCATCACTAAACTTTTATTTTCTTCTTAGAATAATTTCTTCATTTGTACTTTAGATAAAAACTGAACCACTCTGAGCTCAGATTCATAAACTTCATGTGTTAGTGCTGTGAACCAACACATGTTAAAGTGGCTTCACCATGTGTCACCTGTGTGACACCTGTGTGACACCTGTGTGACAGTGCACTGTTAAAATTAAAGAGGGGGGGGCTAAGTGGCTAAAGTGCAGGACCCAGCACTGAGACATGATGTAGCATCAGGCTAATGAGTGAATGACTTCTTGGCAGGTTGATGAGTCGTTACCAGCCCTTGGCAGATGAGCCACAAAGTCAAGGTAGGACACGGACCCCGGGACCATCACAGACCGCCTCCTGTGAAGGTCAGTCCTGCTCCTCGCTGTCCTGACGGCCGTCTGTCCTCTTCTCTTTGTGACACGAGAAAATCCGTCGCATCTCCTCCTCGTACCGGATGAAGTTCTCTCCGAACCGGGCCCAGGCTTTGAGCGGGACCGTGATGGTGTTTCTGTACGGCTGCCGCACCTCGCTGATTTTTAAAAAGATACCGTACCGGTTGGAGCCGACGTCGAAGTAAAACCTCTTGTTGTCCACGCGAAAGGACGCGGCCTCCGGCAGCTCGGGGCTGTCGTCGTGGTTCCTAGACCCGGCTCGGCCGCGGTCGTCGCTGTCCTCGTCGCCGTAGTCTTCGATGAGCTGCGACAGCGCGTCTCTGAACTCGATGAGCCCTTGCGCGGGCAGCACGATGGTCTGCTCGATACCCTGGCCGTAGTAGCCCATGGTGCCGTGTCCTTTACTGACAGTCTGCCGGATGCGGAGGAACCGGCCTCTCTGGTTCTCCTTCAGGTCCAGGAAGTACTTTCTGTTGTCCCTCTCGATGAACTCGCTCTTGAGGACGCGGTGGGCATGGTCGTCGGACACCGCGGATCCGGTGGGAGACAGCGCCGCGTGCTGCTCCTGCGCTCTCCTGCGGGACTCGTGCGCGCGGCCCTGGCCGTTGTTGCTGTGCTCCTCGAGCTGCGGCGGCGCGAGGCCCCCCCGCAGCCCGATCCGGGCGTAATAATCTATAAAGTCTCCCAGGCAGTAGCGAAGCGCTGGGGCCATGGACATGGACAGCGTCAGCTTGCTCTTCCTGATGTTGTCGTGGCGGCCTCTCCCGATCCACACCTCGGCGATTTTGAGGAAGCGTCCGCGGACGCTCTGCTTCACGTCCAGGTAGAAGCGTTTCTTCTGGATGTCGACGCGTTTGGAAGCTAACTCCTGGATGTCATTGCCCTGCTGCTGCTGCTGCTGCTGCTGCTGCTGCTGCTGCTGCGACCCGCTCTGGACGTACTGCTGGGGATATGTGGGTCTCGGCAGAGAGTCTGATGCAATCTTCCCCCTGCCTCTGTCCATCCCTCTGCAACATCCATCAGCCATCATGGTTTATGTTCCTCCAGCAGACAGACCAGGACAAAGCGATCCCCCATCCCAGTGGGCGACTCTCAGACGAATGAAGCGGGTTTATTCATGCACCCGGCAGGAGCCGCTCAGCTCAGCCCGACGCCTCGAATGACCTGAAAATGGCAGCTAGTTCTGTTCATCAGCTGATCGAGCCTCTGCGTCCCGAATAAAGGTCAAGCTCCACTATTCAGTCGTTTCCTCCGCAAACTTCACCGCCGTCCTCCATCACCTATGAGCCTTACAGCCGCCCCGTGCGCCGAGGAGCCAGGGAAGCAGCCAACCTGAAATGGGAGGAGGCGTCCAATACTACATGAACCCGATGAACCCAGTCCCCCCTCCCTCCCCGTCCTGAGAATACCTCAGTTAAAGAGACAGGCTTTACACAGGAGGAGTTGGATCCACATCATCTGCAGCTGATCCCAACATGTTTATCGATTATTGATTTGAGGAAATGATGCCAGAGAATCATCCAGTGCTCGTTTTATTCAATAAAGAATCATTCTTAAAGAGAAAATACACATTTACTTAATAAAGTCTATCTCAGCAGAGACACTGCTTCATTATTAAGACTAAGTGTTCTCTTCTTCCATGCCTCTTCTGTCCGGACAAAACAGACTAAATGCTGCACATAATAGAAATAACTATATGATAAATCAAATATATGAGATATGAATCGCTAGACACTGTCAAAAGGACAAATTTGACTTAGTGACTCAAAATGTATTTGTTTTTTGTCTAAATGTTCAGAGGAAAAAGCCTCTGTATCATCAGATGTTAAACTATGAGGTAAAGTGTGAAGCACAGTAACAACAGCTGACACCATCGTGTTAGTTAAAAGATTTATTTTAATATTTCATATTTATTTCATTCATATGATGATCTTTTACAGTTCACTGTCGTCTGCAGCTAATGAGACACATGACCTCTTCCAGGTGTTTCCAGCCACTCCACCTTCATTAAAATGTCACTTATCACATGGGTCGTTAAACAAACAGCTTTTTTTCTCCACATGATGATTGATGGTGTGTGATGTCTGTGTCACCTGATCAATCTCAGTCCCCTCTTCTGGTCTCCACTAGCTCCTCTCACAATATTCAACACATTATTATAAAGAATATTGAGTGAACCCTTCAGCTCTGAGAGTGACTCAGGTCACAGTGATAACTACTCACAGCTGTATGTAGTGATGGCAGCAGAAATCAGAAATGTGTTGATTGTTCTCAGTGAGATTTGTTTACTGTGAATCATGGAGCTGATAGTTGTCAGGTCCATCAGAGACTAAGACCACAGCTGTTAGTGATGACAGTATATTGTGTGTGAACACAGAGGGAGGAGGAGGAGGAGGTGGCAGCGATGCTTCCTCTGACACAGACTGGAGGAGGGATCATCTCTGAATGTGGTATCTAGAGATGAAACGGTATAAAAATTTAATATCATCATGATAGTGAGCTAAATGATCACGGTTATCAGTGTTATTGTTAAAATGTGCTGGAAATGTTCAATAAGTAAAGTCCAAATGGAAACTATAGATAAAATAATCAGCAGCACTTTTAGTTTGCATTGAAACATTAAAATAATAAAAAGGGACCAGAGCACTACTGGGTTTCCCTGCTGCATGTCCACTCTGTCAACAAGGGAGTAACAAATGTATTATTATTATTTTCCTGCTGTAACTTTAAACTGTGCTCAGGGATGAAAGAGTGAGCTGCAGCCCTGAAATAAGTTTGAAAAACACAATCACCGATTGTGTGGGATCACTGATCAGCTAGCAGCTCCCACTGCTGCTAGCCGATCAGTCTGCAGTTGTGTGTGTCCTCCCTGAACAGAAAGACAGATTCCTCGGACAGTGTGAAAGGAATCAATCAGCTTTTAAGAGGTTTACCTGCTCATTTTAGTGTAAAGGTTGTCAGAAGGCTGAAACTGTCACTGCCCTCCTCCATGTTCTGACTGACACTAAACCATTCCACGTTGCTTGCTGCGCATGTGTCTTGGAGACTGTTCCTAATTGATGCTACAGTACAGTGGCCATGAGAGCTCAATGCACTGCAACTTAAGAAAACCCATGCAAATAGACAAAACACAAATAAATACAGAAAACATCTTCATCAGTTTGACAACATGAGCTGCAAATACTCACAACATAAGCAAATACACAAATGTGCTGCAAGAAACAGAGACGACAATGTTAGTGTTTTCAGGGGACACTAAAAGTGATGGACCTGGGACGCACTTGCATGGATGTATTATAATACATCTAATACATATGATCCATGTGCACTTATTGTTCAATGTTTGTAACCTCACAGGTCACCATGCATTGAACAACCAGTGCGTCCCAGCAGGTTCATCACTTTTCAGAGGTTTCAAACTGATGAAGATGTTTTCTGAAGTTTGTGTTTTGTCTGTTTGCATGTGTTTTCTTAAGTTGCAGTGCGTTGAGCTCTTAGGGCCACCGTAGGACAGTACCTAACGTGAGTTTAATTAACCACAGTTAGAGTGATAATTAAAATTTAAACAGTAATGTTGTGTCATTTTTAAGTGATTTAATGTGAAGCCGTTTCATCTCTAGTATCCACAGTCAACATGGGTCAGAGCGGAGTCACCTGCTTCTATAGATGATCTGATGAAGCAGTGGATTCATCTTTAAACTGAACATTAGTCATATGACTGTTCTGTTTCCTTCAGTTAAGTTTTTTATTTGAACATGCGCCGTCATCATTACCTGTACATGTCAGTGTGAACTTGTGTTACATTCATGTGCAGTGCATATACTGAAGCTGAAAACATACTGTGTGTACGTTAATGTCAATGTAACAATCCTTGCAGAGGTGAGACTCCTCCACCAGAGGGTGCTGCAGCACAGACAGAGGCTGCATGCTGCAGCACCTGGCACTCCTCAGTCTGAGCTTCACCTGTGTCACGGTCAGAGCGTCCACATACACTTGTCACGTATGATTGACCATCATTGTCGATAAAGATATGTAAATGTTCATGTGAATGCAAAGCAAACTATTGCTCCAAGCTCCTATTCACATTGTATTTACATCTCCCAGAGCTTCCTTGACTATGTATATGTAGAAGAGGCACTGGTCTTCTTCAGAAGCTTGAAATGCACATTAACAAAGGCACAGAAGCACTGACACAGGTGACCCTAGGATCAGGTCCATCTGTGGTCTTACTGTGGCCTGTAGCCACCAAGCTGAGGCATGTAGCTGGAGACTGGTGCTGCTGGCAGCCAGTCAGCTGACTGCTCATCTGTAGGTGCCGTCTGCTCAGAGTCCTCCTCCAGGGAGCAGAAGTCCAGAGGCTCCAGCATCTCCTGCTGCTCCGCCTCTAGCTGGTTGGTGCTGTCTTCGTTCCCTGTGGCGTGTGTGAAGCAGGACTGTCGGGGGTAACGCTCCTGCACCAGCATGTCTGGGTTCTCCTCAGAGTCCAGCAGGGGCTGCGTGGACTCGGACCGGGAGAAAATGCCCTGCTGGGGTTGGGAGCTTGGGGTCTGACCTTTGTAGCCACTGAAGGCCACCACAGAGGAGTACTGGACGGTGCTGGCTGTGGTGTCGGCCATGTCGCCGCCCTCATCGCTGTCGGACACACTCTGGCGAGGCGAGGACATGCAGGAGGAGCCGCCAATCCCGCTGCTGTGCTCCTCAGACATATACTTGTCCTTCTTCAGAGGAAGACTGGTCTTATCCTCCTCAAACACACACTTTGCATCACACACATCCACATCGAGCACACTGATGCCTGACAGACAGTTCTCCTTTGGTGTCTCTGCCTGCAGAGGACGACAAAGAGAAACACTGAGTTATAATCAGGCTAAAAACTGACTGTTATTACCCACAGATAAACATGTGACACTAAAGTCAGTGTTGATGACAAATTTCAAGTGTCTGACACTTGCGTTCTATTTCAGTCTACCTACAGCAATCTGCTGTGATTTCATAACGCATATGAACAGAAACTCAGTCTGTAAGTGTACATGATGATAGTATGGTCTCTCTCTGGGAATAAGCATGCTTTCAGGTGGACCCTAAATTCTGCAGGAGGTTTCCAGCAGCCTGTGAAGGGTGTAGCAGGGAAGGTGCCTGAGGAAATCAGACTGGCTGAGTCTGTGACCTTCTTAAAACATCATGTTATCAAAGCCTGAGTTTATTTAGTTTGTCTTTTTATTCCATCTTACACTGGAACTGGTTTTATCTTTTTATCTTGGTTGTAGAGCGGCTGCAGTGCGGTGGCAACGTGTTTGGACTCTGCTTCATCCAGGCAAACCTCTGCAGGTTCTATGGATACAGTGTGTAGGTAAACTGCTTGGTAAACCCTGTGTGTCAGTGCACAGGAAGTCCTTACTTTCAAAGGATAATCAGGAGACCAGTTTCCAATGGTGCTCTCTCCAGGGTTTGGTATCTGAGGCCAGAAGTTCCTCTTGATCCTGTAAGACAGAAAACAGTCAGTGGTGGTCACACATGAGCTGCGGCACTGTGGATACCACTACAATCACTATTAACATGCTGTCGTTCACAGCGTATCTGAGTTATGGGCTTGGTGAGCTGTGGTGTACAGTTCAAACAGTTTCTGAGGTAAACCTGAAAAACTGCACTCCAGGGATGGGACCCTCCGGTGCAGCTTCACCACAACAACAACAACAACAACAACAACATGTTCAGGTGTTTCAGTGGAACTTACACATCTTTTTTGTAGAAACAAAGCAGCATCGTCATGACAAAGACAAACAGAAAGCCAAGGCTGACGCCCACCACGATGAGCTCGATCACTCCGTCCTCTGAGGGACAAACAGAGAAGATGACATCAGAGCCAGTCAACATCTGTGAACAGACTTCACCTGCACCGCTCCCACCCTTCATCACCCCACATCACACCTGCAGGTATCTATCTCCTTTGGTTCATAGTTTCTCTACATCTATGATACATGAGAATTATGTTTGAGTGTTGATCTGTGTTTCTGTAGGAAAACTGTAGTTAGAGCAAACACACAGGAGGAAATCTACTGAACAAAAGATCAGGGACACAAACTTTGTGTGTTTCTACTTCATGTGGTCTTTACACTGACCTCAGCCACAGTTCATGTGCAGCTGGATCAGATCTGATGGTGTTTTTTAAGGACAGGTTTAGTGTCAGTTTGGAAAACATGTGGAAACTACACCTTCATATTAGCTCCAGCTGATCCTGATCCCGTCACTCTGACGCATCCCCCTTACACCAGTACCAACAAATCCACTAATATATAACATTATGACTTTTGCTCTCCAGACATTATGAATATAATGTGTGTTTGGAAAATTAAAACCTGACTCCGAGACATGTCTGAACGTAGGAAAGGTCACACTCACCGTACTTGGGAGTGGTGAATGCGTGACAGATGCCTGTGGCTGAGCCTGCGATGGTCGAGGCCATGACGCACATTTCGTACCTGGTGTTTCCTGACAGTGAGGTCAGAGTGTATGAGGTGATGTTACCCGGAACTAACACACCTGTAAAACACACGTCAGCAGTTAGGACACCGTCAATAAAACCTTCAGATCTAACAGGAACCATGTGACGGGTACATACTGTGTTTCTCTGTGACACTGGAGTAGAAGATTGTGTAGTTGGTGATGAAGCCTCGTCGGCTGTGTGGGGGAATCTCCGTCCACGTTACCTCAGCGTGGTTACGTCCCGGTTTACCGTTCAATTCCAACACAGGACCTTCCAGAGGAGCTGCGAGAACAACAGCATTGGACATGTCAATCATACAACTGAACCTCATCTTAAGTCACATATACACTGACTTTAAGATCAGTCAATGACATCATATCCTCTTTGTTAATGTGTCAGTGTTGTGACTGTCTGGATCACAACACCGTGAGATAAATTTTTTACATCTTGGTTTTCAACTCGGATAAAGGATCTTAGTCATCAGAAGTCTGGATCTTAAGTTATCAGAGAAACAAGCTGAGTAAACATCAGCAGCAGCAGCTCAGCTCCTGGCCGCTCTGACACCTCCTGTTTCTGCTGAACAGTCAGAGAGTCTCTGATTTTTAACATGAAACTTTTATTTTCATCAGCTGGTCTGTTTGTTCTGGAGAAGAGGAGACCTCTGCTAAAAAACCTCCTGAACAACACTGAATGAATATTAACAGGGAGAAGATTCTGATGATCCCACAACATCACTTAACTCTGTCTCATTGTTTTGATTGAGAGCCCTCTAGAGGTAGAAGTTCCAGGCTGTGTGTCAAATTTCAAACACATATTTTCAATGACATTATTTAGATTTATTTTTCTTTCATGACTGAATCAGTCATTTTTCATGGTGACATGAATTAAAAGTCAACAGAAAGAGCTGCTGGTTATAAACATAATCTAATCCTGAGCTGTTTTTAATATTTACAACCACATACAGTGATTTTCCCACCAACAGTGAGTGTAGTCTTACCTCCCTGCTCCAGAAAGGCCTCGACCCTCACTGCCTTCCCAGCCACTCGGTTGTAGATTGGATACACAGACACGGTGTAGCAAACAAACTTCTCGAGGTGTCCTAGATTCAACATCGAGACCACAGATGAAATTATATGTCTGAATAAAATCTGTACAAGTTGAGGATACGTGAAGTGGTACTCCACCCAAATCCAGCATCTCAGTATGACACCCTGTAGACTTGAAGGACGCTGAAGTCTTTCATGGAGAACAGCTGCATCCAGTTTGAATTCAGTTTTCACAGAGGAAATAATAATAAAGATCTAGAGCTGAGTCTGCAGCAGCACGTTACTGCCACCATGACAGGAAATAGATTGTCTCAGTTTTATATAACGAGAAACGTTTCTTATAACAAGAACCTTTACACTTTTCAACAAGATATTTATCATGTCATTTCTTCATTATTACTTCACAACACATAATACTGTTCTCTCATTATGAACACATCATCCAACTTTATCAGTGTTTCACTCGATCAGCATCAGCTAGAAGAAATGATGATTTAACAGCGTTTCATCCTTCATCACTCAGTCTGTGAAGTGTCAGTTGTGTTGGTTACACTTTAATTACAAATTCTGTTACTTTACATAAGAACTGACCATTTACCAAACCCTCCTGCTGTGTTATAGCAATTTGAATATACTGTATTTCACCCACTGATCCATGTGGCTGTGATTCTATCAGTTTCCATGAGTATGAAAATCTATAACACACTCTTCAGCTTGGTCATGTGTCTAACATAATGAGCATCACATCTGGACTAGTCACTGGTACTGTGAGGTGATGCAGAACAGACCTGATGTTGACTGTGATGGATCAACAACAGTGGAAAAAATATATTCAACAACAATGAAGTCTACAGACAACGTGTGAAAGCACACGACAATCCATGATGTAGTTACAGACATTAAACCCGCAGACACACTGGTGTGGTTCTGCAAGCTGCAGTTTACCACATCACCACTAGGGCGCCCTGTACCATGACTGCAGTGAAAACATTCAGGGCCTGGACCACTATCAACATGCACACACACACACACACGCATGCAAGCATGCACCACAGGTATAAACGTGTGTAGCAGTGTGTATCACTGTTGTATTTCTGCAGTTCTAGTAGCTACTCTGAACATGTGACTCACTCAGGTTCAGACTTTGTCTTTCATATTTAGGTGAGTGTCTGAGACACACCACAAGCACTGATGGATCATAATCAAAGGTTTGAAGTTTCTACAGTGTTCAGACTGAAATCCACAACACCTGGTTATTTTGATGATCTCCTGTCAGTATACAGACCTCAGCTGACCACATCATTTTACACATCTACAGGGTCAGAGTGGTTCATTTTCAATGAGGACAGATTTTATATGACACCTTGAACTGACAGACTCACCTTTAATGGCAGTGAGTCTGGTACTCCTGTTCTCCCTCTGCCAGTCCACCTGATCTCCAGTGATCCACTCCACCACGTATTCTGACACAGTTGATCTGTTTGGGGGTGTCCATTCAAGCCACAGCTGTCTCCCATCGGACCACACCCTCAGCCCTTCCACCGGGGGACGCTCTGTAACACACACACACACACACACACACACACACACACACACACACACACACACACACAATTGATGGAAAGTCTTCACAGTTTTTGTTAGGACTGTGTTTCCTGTTCAGATCAGTCAAAGGTGTCACACACATTCATGTGACGGGTTCACACTTGTTAAGACATTAAATACAGTGGTTATCAAACACATGTGAAAACAAACATTACCATCAGTGGTTTGTCAGAAGCACATAATGTGTGGTAAACAGGCCTCAACATAAAGAGTAGTATGATCATTTAAAAGACCCGTCTCACCACAGACATTCAGACCTAAACCAGTTTAGAACTACATGAATTTGTATGTATGTGTGTATGTATGTATCTATCTATCTCTCTCTCTCAGGTACATGATGAGGAACACTCAGCAGCTCAGCTCAGGTAACTACACCTGAGAGGAACATGTGGATATGGAACGTCTATCATTATATTATTTATATTGAGAGGTAGATTTTCTCCACTTGAAGACATCTCACTCTGGTGTGTTAACATGCACACACCTGTCTCAGCTTGCTTCTGTTCTTGTCCAACAGTTAAAAACAGTAATATGAGGCTGATCTGTGGCTCATATTAACTTTATCATGATGGGTCGCTGGTTATCACATTCAATATCACTATCAATCATTTCCAGATCTATCTGCCTGTGATGATACACTCTGACCACCAGGTGTCACTATGCACATTCACGTTGTTAAAGATGAGTGACCTGTATGAAGCTGTGTCTGACCTTTAACATGGAGCTCTTGATGATGATGATCATGTCATGTTTTGAGCTACATCTTCATCACTATGTTTCTCAATGGTTTCTACCATCCACTACTTCCTGTGGAGATGTTTTTAAGTAAATGATGACAGGCAGATCACTACTCTAAATTAACAATGTATAAGATTCTGTCTGAAACACTCTCATCAGAACCATGAACCTTCACCGAGCAACTTCCTCCTGATTTTGAATCTTCATCGTCCTCCACTGAAACTTTTAATGAGATTCTTCTAAACCGCGACTCTGACTCGTGTTTCATGTCATGTCCTTCACAGTGAACAGAGCTGCCTATAGCGAGTGTGTTCATGTCCAAATCAGTAATTAAAGCACAATGTGCTGCCTTGTGTTGTTCATCATCATGAATATGTATGATGCCTTGATTCATATGACAGGTTGTGCTAACCTGCAAAAATATCTGAACACAACAGCTTCCACAGAATCCTGTCTACTAATGCTAATGCTAACTCTGAGTTGTCAGTGGAGTGATCAGTGACAGGGCCTGCACTGCACAGGGAGGTGAACATACAAGATTATTAGCTGTGTGTTTCAACAACACGTCACACTGTAATACACAGAACACATGGATGCACATGTCAGTCGAACTACCTAGTTGGAATACCCTGATGGTTCAGGGATTAACTGTGTCCTCAGTTCCATACATGTGATTGACAGCTTCTCTGTCTCCAGTCATCACTCTGTGGTCCACTTGATAATTAAAGCAAAATACCCTGAAATCATGTAAACATAACACCTGGACTACGCCGCTCAGTTGAAGGACCAACTAATTTGAAGAACTGAGAATAATACCTGCAGCTGTTCAGATCATATACTGTGGCCTGTAGCCCAATGTTACCATGGAGACCTACCGAGTGCTCGTTCAGGGACGACTAATGATGCCGGAGCAGACTTCCCCACAGAATTGACGGCGATGACATCCACTATGATGGACTTCCTGTCAGCCAGGTAAATCTCTTTAAGGAAAGTGATATTCGTCCGGGTAGAGCTGTAGTCTTCCTCTGACTTGTTGACAGGAATCCTCTCCCACTCCAAACTTCCATTCATGACTTTTCCCCTCTGGCCTTGGATCTTCATGTCAAACCTGATTATCCTTCCATTGGCAGTCACAGGATCCTGTCAGGACAGAGTCACATGCTGAAGTTTACCCGTCAGCATCAGCATCAAAAAGTTCTGCTGACAATAATCACCAGCTAGACTGAAGCTGCTCTGAGTCTCATTACACTGCTGACAACTTTAACTACATTTCTCTGTATACATTCAGATTATATACAGTATATATATCGTTTTTCTGTTCTGTACATACCAATAAAAAAATTAAAAGCTGCTTTAAAAGAATCAGGCTGGTCTTTCTTTTGTCCTTCAAATTAAAAGCACATTTAACAGTGAGTGGGGTTTATCCTGAAACACTGTTCAGCTCTGACAGTAGAGACAGTAGAGTCCTGCTCAGGCTCCAGTTTCTGTGTGGTCTGGGCAGTTAGAAGTCTCTAGTTTTCATGATTTTGATGTTTTGTTTTTAAATACAAAAAGCCACATAAATAATAGTATTGTTTTAATAATAGTAATAACTTATCTATTAATTCATTCATTAATTACATTGATAATAATATCAATAATATTACTGTTTGTATTTACTTATTTAATATATAAATGGGCTAACCTTCTGAATTACTTTAAGTGGGCGAGCATTAAGTAACATTGAGTCACTGCATGTCACAGTGGATGACGGTATGTTGATATTTGATATTTAGCTCCTCATTTACTTAATATTCACATATTTGTACTGCATGAGCAGCTCTGCAAACACAAATTCTGATGGAATAAATGAGACTGATAAATAATAAATAATATCTAAAATTTATCTAATATTAGTGTTATTAGGTGTAACAGTGTTTGTGTCATGTGGGTATTTACCTTACACAGAAACTGCACTCGTCGTTCACCGATGCCGCCCTCCTCAGAAATTACCCTCCATAAATCTGGTTTACCTGTTGGTCCTGAGCCGAAGAAGAAGAAAAAGACAAACAAAGCTTTTATAATACCAAATCATCTCACTGTATCTCTCTACATCTATGGTTCAACGTATGGGTTAATGTTTCTGTCAGTGTGTTGGGACCAAACAATGAGGCTAAAAACTAAGATGTGCTCTTCAACCTGCACACAGTGGTTTCCTTTAACAGGGATCAGACCACATTCTGTTTAGATACTGAAACACCTGCAGACAGGTGTGAAGAAATGAGGATTCATACTGCATCTATCAGGCGTTACAAACTAATGAGTTCAACAACCTTCAAGTCTTTCAACTTTCTGTGAAAACTAGTTGTATGTAGTGGTCAGTTATGTTTATGTAGTAAACATGGTGTGAACAGACAGTCATACTCACGGCCCTCTGGCGTCCTCTTGACAGCGCGGTGACTCCACTCACTCCAGTGACCGTATCCTTCTTTAGAATTTTTACAGCGAACCTGAGTGACATACATCGTGTCTGGCTGAAGATACTGGATCCTGAAGGATTGTATGTCCTTGGCTGTCTCCCCAAGAGGTACCTGAAGGACAATGACGACATGTTTTTATTGATTTTGTCAGCTGACCAAACATCCACAGACACACAACAACAAAAACAATAGCTGTGTCCCAATTCAGGAGCCGTGTCCTTCAGAGGTTGCATTCGAAGACTTATTGCGTCACAGCGGCGCGACTAGACTGTTGCGTTTCGAAAGGCTCCTTCAAATGCGGCCTTCTTTTCCTGGGCAATGAAGGATGCAACGGTTGGATCCTGTGTTGCCAAACCTATCCCAAGAGTCATTGCACACCACTAATGCAACCAACAGAGAGCCTGAGGATTACATCGTTAAATGTAAGTATTGGATTTGGATACAACAAAGATTTTGTGAAAAATAGTTACGTGTTGCCAAGGGCCACACCTTCGTAGACCGCGTGCTCTGAAGGATGCAGCCCCAGAATTGGGACATAGCTAATATTTCCCTGAGACATAAAGACAAACACTGACGTTCAAGTTGTAATTCTTAGAATTATACAGGTCCCATATTTAGATGTATGTGACTGTTTTAACCACTGGAGGCAGTAAACACACCATGAGCAGATACTCTGTCACAAAGGAAGAAGAAGAACTGCTGCTTCTCAGGCACTGAATGAACTAAAGACTCCTTCACACTGTGAGATTTCTTCTTAGGTTTACTACAGGCCACTCTGTGACATGGATATGATATACATGGCTACGACACCAGGTTTTATGTATGTAGACTCTATGATGATGAAGTTATGTGATGCCTTTCATTTATCCATCTGTGTTCAACATTCATCTTTCACTAACTCTTTATTTACAGAACACTAGACTGAAATGTGAATAAATGACAATATTATTGACCAGCCTGTCTGTCTCTATCATTCATCAGAAACCTGAGTGTGACAGTATGACCCACCTGCTCACCTGCACTTCAATCAATAACCAAACAGTTTCAGTTTCAGTGTGACATAGTTCAAATCTTAAGGAGTCAGTGTTTAGTCCAATACCAGTTATGTATAGTAATGTATATTACATAGTAATGTTTAGTGAAATCAACATTTTTGTGAATCATACTCACATAGGTCCAGCTTTGAGATGCATTTTTGCAGAACCTGATCTGATACGTTAGTGCCACATATTCTTTACCAATAGGACGAGTCCAGTTTATAAGAAGGGAGGTGGAAAAACTCGGCTCTGAGATGGCTTCGACGTCTCCCGGAGGGTTGGTCTTCACTACAAAGACACAACACGCAGTCAACATTATGAGAGACGGTGATCATCATCATCATCATCATCATCATCATCATCATCATCATCATCATCATCATCATCATCATCAGTCACATTTCAGCAGAGCCAGCACTGTTAATACAGTGAATACATGTGTTGGACCTAGATCAGAGCTTGTTAACATAAAGGAAACCTAATGATGTTACAGTACAACAGTGAACTCACCAACATATCCAGATTCTCTCTTCAGGTGCTCAGTCTCCACTGTTCCCAGCTTGTTATGAGCCTCCACCCAGATCTCCACCTCCATGAAGTGAGGGAACACACTCATAGAGATTTTGGCGCTGTTTCCACTCGTTGTCATGTTGTAGGAGGCAACGCTGCTGACATAGGATTTAACACCATTAGAGGAACACAACAGTCAGACCTACACTGGAGTCAGACCTACACTACAGTATAGGGATGGGAATTGATAACATTTTATTGATACCAATGCCATTTTCGATTCTGATAAATCAATCCAATTCTTTATCGATTCCCTTATCAATTCCTGTGGATTTTCTGTGTGGAAAAAAGTAGACCTATACATGTTTTCAGTATCAACAACGCAAATTTTATTATGAGTCTCTGAACACTGAACAAGATAGATAACTGCTCTGTAGTTGTTCACTCCCTCGATGAGCAGGTGCTGTCTGCCTTGTATTCCACCAATCAAAATCGTGCCATCTCAAACATTAAATTACAGCAATAAAACTCTTTTATCAACATTCTTCCAGCTACTTTAAGAACCAGTTTGATTTGATTTCATCAGGCTGATAATGAACCACAAACATTAATAATCATCTGGTGGTGTACTCACGAGAGGACTCTGAAGTACAGAGTGTATATTGTAGGAACATCTAGGGTCTGACGTCCCACTGCATCCCAGTGACAGGTGACAGTTGAAGAGATGTGCTTCTTCTCCTGCAGAGCTACACAGGTGAGGTTCTCAGGCTTCTCTGGACGATCTGACAGAGGAGGAAGAACACAATGACATTTTTAACAACACAGTGTGGCCTTTACTTTTACAGACATGTCTGTTTGAATATCTGAAAGACAAATAAGTGAGGGTGGTATCAACTTCTAATCATGGCATCTTTTGTGGTTTGACAGGTGAGATTCAGCCGACTTTATTCTGAAGCCATAGAAAGCTAAAACTGAACAGACTGAAATACTTGATATGATCCACAGATCAGTAAACCCGAACCTGTGTACGTCATATTTAAAACAGGATGTATGTCTGCAGGCTCACATGGATGTTAACATCAGACAGCTGCTCTCACTCTCCTTTCTAATAGACTGTTTGTAGTAAAATGATCATTACTAACACAAATACAGGCTTAACCTGTGAACATCAGAAAACAGCCCCCAACACTAAACCTCCTTTATCTCAGCCACCAGTATTAAATAAAAAATGAAAAAATCAAAAATTCTTACAGCCTTTAGTGAGTAAAATCCCGTGAATAAATCTGCCTCCGTTCAGGATAACATTGGCGGACACCTTCTTACAGAGGCAGTACAACCATTCACGTTGTTCACTGATGACAGTGAGGGTGACGCTCAGAGCTGAGCTGTTGACCTTCGTGTAGTGATCTCTGGGTATAGTGGTCTTAGCCAGGTCCCAGTAGAGGTCATCCGCTGTAATTTCAGCTGTGTTGATGATCATGCATGTAGCCGTGAAGGTGGTCCCGATCTCCAGCACCGGAGATTGGGGGGCTATCACCAAATGGTTGTTATTACCTGAAGAGCAACATCACACACTCATCAGCAACAACAGTGTTTAACAGCAGCATTAAAGAGGCAGGAGACCACCTAGTGGCTCAACCTGGTACTACAACAAAACCAAAGTCAACTGTTTGACTGATAGGATGCATTCACTGAATCTCAGCAGAATGGGAAGAATGGAACAACACCCGTTATTCCAACATGGTGGTTATCCCTTGTGCTAAGCTAACCCTGTGGTCTCAGCAGATAAACTGCCTCAATGAGATGCTGTGTTGTGACACGTATCTGTAGCAGTTCATTACCAGGTGTGATCAGACACACTGTGTATATACACTGAGCTGACTGGATTATATTTTAGTTTGATGTGGTGCATTGGTCCTATAGTCTGTTTCCTGTCCCTCCAAGATTACAGACACCAAAACATGAAATGCTGCTCAGCACCAGAGGTGCACCATCAGGGAAACCAGGCAAATGTTAAGGGAAAAACAGGGCTTGAATGACCCCCCTCATACTGGTTTATAGGTTCATAGGTTTATTTTTTCAATGACAACTACAAAACCCCCTTAAAAGAGCACTATATAGTGCACATCAGCTGCCCCAAAACCCTCTCAGTGGGGCCCCTGATGATGTGTGTCTCCCTTAGGTAGACTAAGACCCGCTCAGGTAAATCTTGCATCAGCCCACCTTATTTCACTCTTTTCAAACAAACAGATTTTTGAGCTGTGTGCACTGCAGTAACTGATTGAGACTAGTATTACCTGCTTAGCACTGTGTGGCATTATCATTGTCTGAGAAAGTTGAAAAAGTAAGGAGTTCATTTATACAATGTTTGCTAAGGACCAAGCTACACCAAGTACAAGCTACTGCTAGCTTGTGAGAATTGACTCTACCACAGCAAAAGCCAGGAGTGGCCACTGGTCTCAGGTCATTACACTGATGAACAGGTGGGGGTAATGACGCACCAAGAAAAAGACCAAAGCTTCCACTCAGGAAACATCGATGTTAACAATTCAAAATATTGAAAAATAATCAGCTTTGAAATGTTTTATGAGGAAGGAAATTCAACACATCCGTTTGGCCCCAAGAGTACACAGAATGTCTGTAACCCCTAATGTAAACAGAACAGTCTATTTTTCCTAGGTACTTTAAGGCAGCATGCAGGGTAAAACTGTCTTGAACTGTGTGAATGGTACTGTGTCCATCCCAGGGCAGCAACACATGACATTTAATATCCAGACAGCAATATAGACAACTCTGAGGTTACATAAGTCTGATGTTAATGTATCCATTGAATGATAATACTCTATAGACTGCTGCGGGGATGAGTCCTAAAACTTGGAAATAGGTTAGTTAACATTTGTGCACCTCCAGTTCCCTCCTAAAGTCAATGTGTTTTTCGTAAGATGATTGAAATAAGGTCTGTGGTTAACACAAGCTTACGTTTTATTCTACAACATAAAATTCGTCAGTAAATACCTCTAACCTGATTTCTTTAAGCTTTTACGTCTCTTAAAAAAGGCCGGTTGCTAACAAGTGTCGAAATGAGACTACATAGGTTGTCGGGGACGTTAAACGTCATTGCAGCAAACACCAGAACTGATCTACGCACCAGCAGAAGTGGAGGACTTGAGTCACAAATTTGAGGACTTGAGACTTGCTTCACTAACACTGAGAAAAGACTGGACTTGACTTTGACTTGGTTTCATGACTTGAAACAGAGGACTCAAAAGGACTTGACTACTACTAGATTCATGAGGTTTAAACAGCTGCAACAGTGTACAGTAACGCTGAAAGTAACTAAACTAAACTTTCCATCACTTCTGCCTAACAGATTTAAATGTGTGAACTGAGCTGATCATCAGGGTTTAGTATAACTTGACTTGACTCTCACCATAGTAACTTGGACACCAATCCACCTTTACAGTCTTGTTGTGTTGTGTTTAACACTGTCAGAGGAAAAGCTTTTGTAGAAGAGGTCAGGGCTAAATCAAACTACAAGCTGAGCTGAGGTGTAGTTGGTTTATAACCTAACATTAGCTTTTTACTTCTGATGATAGGTTTTTGGCTTCAAACATCATAAGGTGGTGTTGCTTGCTGTCACATAACTCTTTTTCAGAAGTAATCCAAAAGCCAATGGAATTTTAACATGAGGGAACCAAGGTGATGCTAACCTCAGGGTTAGACTACAATAATATGTAATCGCTGCAGCTCTGTATTAGGGGTTAAAATGTAAAATGATACTGACCACCTGTGGTAGGTACAGCAGAGGCAAGGCAAGCTAACCCCAGCAGCTGGAGCACTCTCGCAGACACCATGATGACGACTAGCTGTTAAGAGGAGACAGAGGTTAGATCAGCTCTGTCTAAAACATCACATCCTTATTAACTTGAACGTTAGTCTCATCGAGGCGTAACGGTGAGAATAGCTTAGAAATACTTCTGTTATATGAGGGTTCATTGCAGTGTTAGCTAAAAGCGGCTAACCGTACATTCTAAGTAAGCACATACCAACAGTTGATGGTAGCTTTATGCTAACAATATACACAGTTATCAGTGTTGCGAATTAAATATTTAGCACTGGGAGCTAACACTGTGAACCACGCTAACGCCATATTGTTTCCGCAGTTAAAAGCAAGAGGTTGTTACTCACCTAACTGGCGTCAGTTATGGTCCCTGAATAATCTTTGCTAGATCGATACCATGTCTCTTTATGGCTGAGACCAACAATGGCCGAAACAAGTTAAATTAATTTAAGATATTATTAGTGTCACGTCCGTGTACTTCTCCGTTAGGACCTCCCACTTCCCGTCAGGGGAAACTGGTTTCACAACATTTCGCGGCGCTGCCCCAGACAGAGTCGACCTCACAGTGAACGGATGGCCCGACGTCGTTTCTGAGGACAGTATGCTCTGACGCTGGTAGTTTAGGGATCTGGTTAAATTCTCAGCGAAGACATACTATTTGGTGATTGGTTAGAGGGACTGTCAGTCAAACACTTGTACTCAATCAGAGAGCTCCGATTTTACTGCTCCGGTTCTGCGTATCATTCACTGTTGTTTTCCAGTATGTCTCCGCCCCTCGTGTCCACATGAATGTACAAGCTTGCAAAGGACCGTGACCCGTTTGGCTCTGAGCTTCCAGGTAAATACTGTTAATGATACTCCAATAAATAGTTGTAGAAAAAGAAGACCAATGATCAGTGATCTTAATTTATTATTTATTTTAATTTCTATTTTATTTATTTCATTTATGTCCCTATATGAACAGTTGTGTGTGTAAATACTGTTAATAATACTCCAATAAAGAGTTGTTGGAAAAAAAAAGACAGATGGTACTTTTATCTTAATTTATTTTTTATTTTATTTTCTATTTCATTTATTTCATTAATGCCCCTGGAATGAACAGTTGTGTGTAAATATAATCTTAATAATACTCCAATAAAGAGTTACTGAAAGTAGAAAAAAGCAGATATAAATTGGATTATTATATAAGACAAGACCACAGAAATCAGGGGCGGACTGAATAAATACTCATGTGACTCGATCCCAGGCCACCCAGTTCACAAACCACCAGAGCCCTGAGTCTGTAGGCTGACCCTGTTTATTGGTGTAACAAGTACCATCAAAAACATCGATAAACCTGAGTCACCTGAAGTCATCACCTGTGAGCTCAGAGCAGTTTGTGTGTAATGATTTCATCTCCTCTCTGTGGCGTGGTGGAGGGTTAGTGAACTGAAAGTACAGGGGTTTATAAAAACCTCTGAAACCAACCCTTTACCAATAAACACTGATGAAAGCTGCTTATCAGCTTTTAAAGTATAAAGTTGTTCTCTCACTTCAACAACAGGGAGTCCTGATCACTGACCCTTCCTTCTATAACCACGCCTTGAGGAAGACCCTGCAGGGGTCAAAACCAGTTGCCGTTTTACTCCCTTTTTTGGGATTTTGTTTTGCAATTTTTACTCTGATATGCCCTTACTAAACAAAGGCATTTTAATTATATCCTTGGCTCTGTTCAAGTGTGCTTTAGGTCAGCCCTACAGCTTCATTGAAGTCCTGTTAACTCGTCTTATCTAACACAGCAAACCACATTTCACTTTGTGTCCTTAACACTGTAAAACTCATAATAATGAATTATATTCATAGACTTTTATTGTTAACCAGGTGTCATTCGATCAGTTTGTCATATTGCAGAAACTTCCTAATTAGGGTTATATATTCTTAATTAGGGAAAAGCCATCACAAATGAATAGTTCTTAACCAAACTTAAGACAGGAGAAGTGTTTTACACAAACTATCAAACATCTCAACATCTTAAATAAACTCTCCTAACTGTAGGACTGCAGAAAGGCCAAACTTACAGATATTTTTTTATCCCGTTATCACAAGATAACAAAGCTTGTTATTCCGAGATAACAAGATATTATTTGGAGAAAATAATTTTTTGTTAGCCCGAGATAACGAGATAATTTTCCCGCTATCTGGAGATAACAAAGCTTGTTTTCTCATTTTAATTACTCAATCAGAGATCAGATGCAGACGGCAACTCCTAGATCTGTAAAATGAATATGTCAGAACGACGCATTGATCATCAGAGAATATTTCAATCAAGGGCAGAAATCACACTGTGTCTTTTCATACAAGATCATTTTCAGATCAGTCCTCGTCAGCTAACGTGTTAAGGATTGTTGCTAGGGAGTACAGTTACTGTGACTGAGTGAATGAGGTTCAGTCAAAATCATATTCTTCTGACAATATTCCGTCAGATCGGGATAACCAGCTTTGTTATCTTGAGATAACGGGTTAAAAAAAATATTTGCAAGTATGGCCTTTCTCAGCTTCTGTAACAGAACTGTTCATGTGGCCTGACTTTCATCTTCATCCAAGTCACTGCTCTTTTTTGTTTTGGGGCTTTTTGTGCCTTTATTGGATAGGATAGTAGAGAGAGACAGGAAATGGGGAGGCATAGAGAGGGGGAATGACATGCAGTAAAGGGCCGTCTAATGCGGGATTTGAACCGGGGCCTGCTGCAGCGAGGACTGTAGCCTCTATATATGGGGCGCCTGCCCAACCCACTGCGCCCTTCGACTTTGTATCTTCTCAGAACTAAAGTAGAACACACTGTACTTCACACACTTCCTGTGTCCTTGTGTAACATAGATGAGTGTTGTTATGCTGACCAAAGTGTTTGGGAGTAACAGTGAGCAGTGTCCAGATTTGCACAATAAATGGTCAAGAGAGAAAGAACCACAGCTCGTTAGCAAACGACACAGGTCTAACTGACGGTGAACTAACAAGTCAAAGACGAGCTGTGCTGGCGTGAAACAAGATGTCAGTCTAACTAACTGAACCAAGTTAACTTGGTTAATGTTCATATGAGGTCTGAGCTCTCTCTGTTTTTTCTTATTTCCAGTGAAGATCATTGAAGTATCAGGTTGAATAAGAGATGAGGCAGAATCAGTAACTTCTTTCAAATCACTTCTTAAAACTCATTTTTATAGAGTTGCTTTTATAGGATGTTGTCTTTTTATCATCTCCATATCGCCCTTTTATTGCTTTTATCGTGTTTGCAGGTGTGTGTGTGTTTTCTATCAAGCTGCTTCCTCTAATTGTCCTTATTTATATTGATGCATATTGTTTGCGCTCCTTTTGTAACTTATTTCTGCCTTGTTTTTGACTTTCATTGCTTATTAAATGAAGTTATTATTATTATTACATATGGACGAGCAGCTACTTCCTCATCATCAGTAGGTGAGACCCTCTGTAATCATCATCCTTACCTCTTCATCACGCCAGACTGGGATTCATTCACTTAGCTCATTTATCCAAACACATTCACTCAGTTTAATTCAGTGAGCTCACACTAACGATCCTGCGTCTGTAATAAATAGAAAAACTATAATCATGAATCAATAATTTACACAGCTGCATTCAGACGAATCAATACTGCGGTATTGATTCGTCTGAATGCAGCTGTGTAAATAGAATGCCAGAATGCCAGGGTAAACTAATGCCAGTTAGTTAACAGTGTAAAGATGAAGCCACATGTTGTGTTTGCTCCAGACTCAGTGAGTATATGAACAACTGGAAAAACATCATCACAGACATGTTGGAATTATGATGTTTATTGATTCAGGAATGCACTTGTTTTTTTTTTTTTGTTTTTTGTTTTTTACAGTATATGAAGCTTTAATTCAATGTTAGATGTGTTTCAGCTCCCAGCACCTCATTCATCTGTTAACATGGAAAATCGGATTCCTACTGTTTTGTTCTGGTCATTGAATTCAAATAATGATCTGAGGATGACTTTTTAATTCACTGAGGTGTCGCAGTATAAACCTAAAGATGACTTTAAATCATGTAGACAATATGGAAGTGGTTCATTCCACTATTAATAGGCCTATTTCAAAAATAAAAAGAAAAAATGTTGTCATTGTCATTTAAACATAAGTGTGATCTGATCTGACAGAGGTGGTCAGGTGTGACCTGGTGGTAAACAGGTCTCCTCAGGATTCATTCTCAGGGTTCTATCATGGGTGAGAAACTAATGTCTGTTTTTCTTTGGTTCTACTTTATGAATTACTGAAAACCTGTAAAAACAAATGTTTCTGCTGCAGACTAGACACAGGAGCTTGCGTGCAGTAGTATAGGTCTCATATGAGTTTCACTTCCTCATCCTGACTGTGAGGGTGTGGGCTGTAGCAGAGCGGGGTTGAGGGCCAGAGGAAACTGATGTCCCACCGCTCCGTCCGGCACCAGCTCTAACACAACAGTTACCGCTCGTTCACGTTGAATTTTCAGCGGAATTCAGTTGTCAAACCACTAGAGACTGTGAGACTTCATCATTCATGGTGTAGTTACTGTGTAACAATGAGAGTCCAGAGAAAGGCTTCATCATGTTTGGTCAAACAAGTGAAACCATCTGTCTTCACACAGATGTGACTGTCTAACCACAGGCGTTTCTTGGGTGAGGAAGTTTGGTGATGATAGGATGAACTACACTCAGTCTGCTACAGTTCCTACTGCTCACACAGGAGCTGTCAGTTTGCAGCAGAAACTTTATTTTACTCTATTTTTTGTTAGATTAAGATTGAGCTGAGTGTGTGTGCTGGGAGATTAAACTGTTTAATTGTTTTTGTCTTGTCTATCTTTCAGACGATAATTCAGTCAGCTCTGTGGAGGTCTCTATAGATTGTTGAGCTCCAGAAGGGTTTGGTCCAGGACCTGGTGCATGTCCAGGTTCTCCTCTTTGGCTTGGGCCAGTTTCTCTGGAGAAGGAAGGACACAAAGTCACAGATGAGTCACAGCTGAGATTCCAAATACATTTTCTGTCTGGAATTTACAGAGAACCCAGAGATTCCACTCAGTCTTTATTCACAATAATAAATCTATTGGTGAATCAGTTTGGCGGTCTATCAGCAGCAGCTGTTCTCTCTCTCAAGTGAACCCAGTACATACTGAGGAGAGGAGCAGCTGGAATAAGGATCAGTTCATACAGGCTCTTTTCTAAAGTCAGCCTCAAACCTGAACTGGATTCACCACCTCAGTTCAAAGGGTGAAGAACAAAATACTTTCACCTGAGAAAATGTACATGTTCAAAAGTAAAATGAATTACAGACACACTGAAGTCGACCTTTGTCAGAGACTGGATCAGGTCAAGTCCAGGACTGGGTATTAAACTCTGATACTTTATGGGCAGACTAAATTGGTTTGATTGGTAGAGTGCGTACCATGAAGGTGTAATCCTAACCACAGCAGCCCGGGTTCGAGTCCAACCTGTGGCCCTTTGCTCCATATGATCCTCTCTCTCTCTCTCTCTCTCTCTCTCTCCCTCCCTGACTTTCCTGTCTCTCTCTCACAGTCACTATTGGAATCAAGGTAAGTG